TACTATGAAAATCGTCTACTGTTTCTGTTATAGAAATGTCAGTCACGCATATGACCGAAGTTTTCAATATTTCAGTTGTAACTATCTTGTTGGAGATAGTTGTTGTTTTATTCTTTTTATGGTACGATTGTGATGCTGTACTTGATATTTCGTCTAAATATTTCCCTGTAGTATTGTCTGAACCATTAATCACCATTGTTTCATTGATTTTATATACGTATGTAGATAAATATCCTGGCGAACAATTTGTTCTAGTTGACATTGGGAAGTATTCATTCTTTATCCGATATGTATCATTAACGTCAGGTTGTTTAGTTGACACAACATCAACGACTCTTTGTTTAGAAGCGGACACGTTTGACAAAATGTTGTCTATCACCGTATGTGAAGCTGGTTGTGTTACAATTTTTAAGAAATCCGATTCCTCATTTATGTTGAAACGAAAGTTTCCAATGCTTGATGTTACATTGTGTTCCTCACTGTTTTCAGCTGATACTGTACTATTTATCAAAGATATGTTCCTTGTCATAGTTTTTTGCATTTGAGATGTAGACGAAGGATTCATAGTTTTATGTATTTCCCATGTTGTAGAGCTATGATATGTAGGAGATAAGCTGTTTTGTGTGCCATAAAAGGTATGAGGTAAAATGGTAGGAACATAGGTTATCGAAGATGTTACTACGTCTTGCGTCGATGTATTCTGAGAAATAATACCATATTGTGCCAATTTGGAAGATGAAATGATTATATCAGTAGCAGACGCAAATGTAAATGTACGCTCCGGTATACTTGTTGTATGCATATTGATGTAATTAGATAATACAACATCCGATGTTCTGATAGCTGAAGTGAAAATGGAAGCAGTTTGTGTTTTCTGTTGTATCTGATTCCCTGCGTTCACTGCAAATACGGAGCTTAAAGCCAACACATTTTCTTGAAAATTTTGTATTTCTGATGGTGTAATGGAATTCATGTTAATTTCCTTGTATTTAGTTTTAAAGATTTCTTCCTTTTGAACTAGAGACGAGAAAGCATTAGACGGAATTATTTTGGATTCTGTATTTAACGTTTGTTTAGATGCTGTATTGTTTAATATATTTCCATTTATTGAGAGTTTCGTATTGCTAGTTATGTAGCTTGTAGCTATATCATCATGACTGTACGTATAATAATCAGTAGGAATATAAGAAATGTTAGCCTTCGTAATGGAAGAAAGTAATGTTATATCGGGTACAATTTGAATCTTTGAAACTGTTGTACCTTCTATTTTTTGGTCAATCGAATTGGACAGTGAAAGAATTTTACTAGGAAAATCAGAAGAAGATATCCTAAAACTTCCAATAGAAGGTTTATTGTCATACTGCGATGCTACCACAAAGGTAGATGGATCATTTTCTACGGGATCCCTTACAGCTAACTGTGTTGATTTTAAAACAAACTTAGTAGTTTGGTTTCCTTCTTTTACTGACAGTCCTTTGTTCAGTGTTATTGAGGTAGTTTCTACATAATCAAAATTTGATTCTAAATCCTTCTCAGTTGAATAAATTGTGTCAGCAATCGTTGGTGTAGCTTTCAAATTATTATCAGATACATGTGATGCTGTAAATGACTCACTAGGAAAGAGTTGTTCCATTGCATGTACTGCTTCATATGTACTTTGTAATAATGATGTTGGTGTAAATTCCATGTCAGACGTGTGAAATTTGGTTTCGAGTATCTCATTTTCTATATGAGAAGAGAAGGAAACATCAACTAATTCTGTGTTTTCATTGTTACTGAATGTAGTATATAAGTCTTTATTGGAGGGACTGTAGAAAGACGGTGTAAAAACAACAGGTTGCAGATTATTTGCTTTTGAGGATAAAATGTCCGCAAACAATAAACTAGACTTTTGAGGATTAGTCCATGATGAATAAAAAGCAGCGGAGTGCTTGTTTGAAGATTCTTTATTTTCTATAGAAGAATGTGCGTTTACAGCCTTAGAAGAAACATATTCTTCAGAAAGTATTGAGGTATCAACAGGTTCAATAAGAAGAGATTCTTCAGAGATGAGTTCAGCAAGAATTGTCATTGGAAGCATTGGTCCAAACATGGTACTAGCCGTGGTCAATATCGAAGCATTTAACGAATGATAGAATGAACTGTTTAATGTGGTTAAAGTAAATGTATTTGAAGTGTTATTTTCAGCTTGCTCGTTTAAATCTGAAGTAATGATATCAGTTGATAGTAAAGAACCATCAAAATGGTCAGTTATTTCAGATTCCGTCTGTGGTAATATGTCTGTAAAACTGGTCATAAATGCAAACTCTACACTGTCAGTTGAAGTCTTTAATTCAATCACTGAAGAATGTTCTTCGACATATGATGTAATTACATTGGTCGTACGAATGACTTCAGGAACTGGTCTAGTTCCTGATAAGAATAGTTTGGAACTGTTGCTATTTAGAGATTCAAATATTACACTTCGAGTTGCAAACAATTTATCTACATTTGCAGTAGGCTTTAGCACACTAGTTGGTTCAATATACATGTTAGTCGGCTTTTCATTATTTGTTGTGTGTGACAATATATCTTTTAATGGTATTGATAGTGTAGTATTAACAGTTTCACTGAGATAAAAGTCTATTTTGTTGTAATTGTGTTCGAGATGAATGGAATTTTCTACAGCTAAAGTTTTCATTGAATCTACAAAAGATATTTGTTCTTGTATTTGAGATTGAAATTGTGAATTGAATATTATTTCCGTTGCTGCTGAATTGTCCACCGAATCCAAAGTAAGGGATTTTATACGTTGATTCTCAAGAGGATTGAGAGATTGCTGCGATTCGCTTTCTTTACTTGACGTCATATTTGATTGTTTTGTACTTGTTTGAGATGAAATCACTTGTTCTTTTTGCGGGGTTATTATCATTTTCGAAAAATAAGAATCATCTCCTGGTATTTTAGTTGAAGTTTCTTTTAAAAATATTACACTTTCTATTCGGGTTTTCAGTTTTGTTACATAAAGTTTTTCTGTTATTGGGCTCTTGGTTATATTTGGTCGTATACTATATATTGATTTCGATATTGACAACTCGGCTGGTACAGTCATAGATGGATCTATTACAGTTGAAATTAAAGACGAACCGATATTTCTCATTATGTCAGACGAATCTGAATAATCAGCTGAAAACGTAGAAATATAAGATGAGAATTGAACTTCAGAAGAAACATGCGTAACCAATGGCTTTTCTGCTATAGTAGAAAACATCGGTTTGGATGATTGAAGATACTTATGATCGCTTGACGTATCCGGATGTGAACTATAGAATGCGTCAATTGCGATTGCGGTTCGGTATTCGGATAACAAAGTATCGGGTGAAACATTAACATATGAGTCCTCAGCAATTTCTGCTGATGATGATGTTCTTAGTTCTTGGGTAGAATAAGAGATATCCGTACCTGAAAATGACCTTATGTTTTTGGTTGCATTTATTCCAGGTAAACGTATTAAACTATCTTGTTTATATTCATAACTAGATTGGAAAGCGATAAAGCTAGTCGTTTCATTAACGACTTGTTGCATATATTTGAATGAATAAGTAGATTCGTCAAAAGAAAATTCCAGTGTATTATTTGCTGTTTTAGTCGTAGAACCGAGATATGGCATTGATGACTGTCCCAGATTTTGTTTCGTTTTGGTAACTATGTCGGTTTCTATGCGTTGTGGAAGCATATCGACAAAAATTGTTTCTAGGTTTGGAGTTGTTGTAACTGATGTGTATATATCAGATCTGGACAATATCGTCAATGGAGTAGATGGATCCGCGACAATAAATGTGGTTGACAAATACCGTGTTGTTTTATTCAGAGGTAAAGCTGATTGGGGTGTATATTTTAAGGTGGAATTTGTTATAAGTTCTGGCATACTGCTCGTAAACTCGTATATGGAGGATGGTTCTACCGTAGTAATTACACTTTTTTCAATTGTTACGACTCTTTTCATGCTATTGTCTGCATTTAATGACATGGTTTCATCAGGGGATATTTGTGAACTACTAACGGAAGTTTTCCTAAATTCATCAGCATCCAAAGTACGTTTACTACGTACGAAATCAAAGATTTCAGAAGTATGAACATTTACTGTAGTGTTTAAAGATGAAAGAGATGAAAGCATTGCCAATTGTGAGCTTCCTTCTATATACATTGCTGAAGTCATATGATATTGTAAATGAGGTAGAGATTGGTTAAATGTTCGCGTTACATTATCCGAATACACTTGAATGTTATTGATAACTGTCTCTGTGACTTGAGATGCCTTTGGTGACATAAAATCCTCTAAGTGACCTAATCCAGAAAAAGAAGTTGTTATATTCGATGACGGATACTTTGTAGCAAACATACTTAATTCTTCTAATTCAAGTAAGCTCTGACCTCTAAAGCTTGAGGTATCAGCATGAAGCTGGCTCGCATTTATTTGTCTCAAATCTGTTGGAAGCATACTAACTACACTGCTATCCGAATTATACATTAGAGTATTTGTAACAACAATGTCTGGCGAAATATGTAATTTTGTTTCATGCGATGAATGCAAGCTATGTGTTTCAGATTCCATATGATCTAGCTGCTGTTTTTCTGTGTTTCTTTTGGTATACAACAAGTCATCGGACAATGTATCAAACACTATTGATGTCCTAGTGGTACCAGAATAAGTAGTTTTGTGAGGCATTTTGAACCTACCAGTAGATAATTCCGCTGAATATAGCATCGTTAGACCAGTATTGACTTTTGATTTAGAAATTTCATCATTAAATGTATAGACTGCTGTCTTAGAAACCTCCTTAGAAATAGATGGAGTCACTTGATAATCAGGTGCATATGTATAGGTAGAAACAAGAGAATTTAAAACCAATGAGGATGGAATATATGTTTTTGACTCCATGTATTCAGTAATATAACTTTCATAAACTTCAGTAGAATCTAAAATACTAAGAGACATTTGATTAAGACGAGTAATTTGTTTTAACTCTTCAATCACAATATCAAGAGAAGAAGATTTTTCTGAATCTGTTGTGACTTTACTATTTTGTGAAGACATCATTTCTTTCTCTTTGATAGATGACTTTATATACCTAGATGATAGATTTTCTGTAAATATATCCTCCGTAGACGTCTTGAACTGGCTACTGTATTTTATTCTATATTGTGGATCCACTTCTTTAAAATTGAAAATTGTGGTTTCATCTATTCTGAGTGGATTCCACGGCCCTTTCCGTGTGATCATAGTTTGTAAATGAGTTTTAAACTGACCTAAGATAGTTTCCATATTAACTTCTGAATATATCTTTGATCCTATTCTGAATCTAACCTTTACGCTGCCAGGACTGTAAATCAAAACATTTAAAAGATAAACTAACTTGCGTATAAACAGTATTGACTATTGAATTGTCTTCGCATGTTATATTCTTATAATTTTCGAAAAATTAGATTTGTAATAAAGGTTTTATGCAAAAGATTGTAAGATATTGCCTTATTTTTTCCTCGTATTTGTTTTCGCTCCACAGTTCGATGAAAGGTTTTGACACCTTTTCTTATGAATATAGATAAATTATATATAATATCAAGTTTAGGAAAATATCAATATATAGGACATAAGATATATTCTCAGTCTTTAATTTCAAATTGTTAATATGAAGTTATTTTTTCCAAGTTACTTAAACAACAAATATCATATTACTAGACTGTATCATCACCGATGTTGTTGCAAATGTATGCTCTGCATTTAAAGTAATATTGATTTTGAAAATGTGCTTTGCAACCAGTGATATGCAGTCTTGTGATGAAAACAACATCGAGTCCGCGTTTACTTAAACACAGGTAAATATGTTTATGCGATACTAATCTCTTCAAAAATAATTTTGAACACACAACTTTACACGTATATTGTAAATGAGAAAGATGCTATGAAAACTGTGTTTTCTGTCAGTTCTTGCTATCCTATATAGGAATATGGCTGTACTATTCTTAGTAGCACGCGTTACACACGATTTGTATTTGTTGATCAACTGTTGTTAAGGCCATGCAAAGTCATGTTATTTGGTAAATTCTGAAGTTTTCACCAGTATTTGTTGCTAGTTCATTTATTAAATCTTGAAAGATATGACGAAGCCCGATTTATCGGAGTTTTATTTAGTGATCTCATTATCGTTTTAGCAAAAGAATGATAATAAACAGTTCATGTATATTGATTAGTATGTGTGTCTCTTTCTTGATTTAGTTCGCTTTGTTTTTCAACAGTTGGTTTCTTCTGACTTTCTTATTATTTAAATTACCTGAATGAAAGTACCTCGCAGTCTTCGTAATCGTCGTTGAATGGTGAGGATGATGAGGTAAACATTGCTTTCATCTGTAAATTTCAATGTAATCATGAAGTTACTCAAGTGTTTTTGAATCGCAACTAGAATATTATGAGTATTTTTTCGTTACTCTCATAATACCAATTCATTGTTTTCAAGAATGGGAAACAGTTTCCAAAGCTACATTATTTGATATTTAAGATATCATAAGTAAAATATGCCAAAAAGTATTAACAAAAATACCAAACTCTAGGGTAAATTCAAAAAAGGGAATGGAAAGTCAATGAAACCTATAAAATAAAACACTCGACTATAAAAACCAACGGAAAAATGAAAAACAACTACCATATTCCTGACTTTGGTACAGACATTTTTTGAAGAAAATGGTGGGGTAAGCCTGGTGTTATAGCTATCTGATTAAAACCTCCCACCAGTATGAAGTTTTTATAGAGTTCCATTATATTGACAATATTAGATGAACAACTCAAACAGACAGTATTGGTTAACGTGACAATAATTTGGATTCAGCAGCCAAAACTGTGTAAACATACATTACAGACATTCAAAACAACTGACTTAAAAATTCAAACAAACATAAAGATGTAAACTTCTTTGTCATTGGGTTCCTAATGGAGAGTTGTCTCATTGGCAATCATACCACCTTTTCCTTTTTTATATTTAAATAAAACTGTCAAAGACGCCAACAACAATGTTTTAGTCAATGGTATAAAAAATGAAAACAATATTATAAAAACCTCATGTGTCCGAATTGTACCTCTTGACACACCGGCATCAGAAACGGCCTAAGCCAAAACCAAAGACATGAATGCACAAATACCGACCGAGCAACGTCAAGAGTCACACGACCAAGCGGAAAATAATAGAACAAAAATAAAGGGAAAACTGTAAAGTAAATAAACTGATACACAACGTCAGCACCTATAATATATAACCCACAACTATCCTATATAATTTGTGAAGTAGACACTGAAAAATTATCTGTTAGGTCTTTGTAAACAATTTTGAAAAACCAACTTGATAGGAACACATATGAACCGAGGATTATCTCTTTATTGTTTGCTTTATTTTGTGTATCGACTTTTACGTTGTATTTGCAAACCTATCATTTTTAAATGAAAAAAAAAAAAAAAAAAAAAAAACACTGAAGCATCACCTGCTAGTATTATTCCAAATTCAAAGTAATATTAATACTAAAACAAAATAAAGAAGAAAATATCGAGAATTTCAACAAAAAAAAACCAACTAAAAAACAAGGGAACTTGAAATTAATTATCATATAATTATACTGGAATCTATTCATTATGTCTAACTTGAATTCACTCTTTACGTCTATCTTTTTAAATAACATATCTAAAGAAGGAATATCACGAAGTCAAATTTGGTTTGAGCCTACGAAAAGGTATCACAAAAGCATACGCTTTTCTTTATTTCCAAAAAAGATATCGGCGGGGGGGGGGGGCAGTAAAAACAAATCAAATACCACCGAAGATACTGGTAACTGATATCACATATTATGGCGTAACGCTTATCTGGTGTCGCATATTACAAGCCTGGTCTCTGTGGTAAGTTTTTACAACTATAGGTCGATGTCACTGCTGGTGGACGCCTGTCCCCTAGTTTATCCCTCGCCCCGAGATGTCAACACTATCGTACTGATATGATGGACATATGATTGATGCGGTCCTTCTCTCTAAATTTACTGTTCATAAAATGTTAAACTCTTTCGAAACACTTTTATTGCCTTCTGCAGGTATAGACGGCCGTAGTCAGTTTTTGTTTTCGATGCTCTGCAACACTGTAATAGCTTTGGTTTTCCAACTGTTTAAATGCGAGCCCCATTTATGAATCTTATGTAGACAAAATGTGATTCTAGCGTACGTAATTGTTAGCCAGGTATCTTTGTCAAGTATCATTTTAAGACTACATTGCATGACTTTTGATAGTTTTTATGCAAGAAAAAGGTATTTTTTAGTCGCTTCTCTCAAGCATCATGCAGTATTGTCTCATGTAAGCCATATTAGAATCTGTTTTGGTCTTTCAAATTCACTCATCTGTATCAGCAATATTTTTAGTTAGTAAGATGGTTTAAGATATAATGAACCGTGGGTCTGATAATGAAAATGATGACTTCTTGGAACAGCTTCGGAACAAATGCGGAACCGCTGGAAACAATAACATAGTCTTACTACCCGTTTGTATCCATTTGGCTATGAAGCGCCAATTGAAAACCACTTACAAAACTTAGCACAAGGCTATCAATTAAAATGTTTAGACTTAATGTTTGCACTTTAATATTTTAATCATAAAGCAACAGATATAGTGTATAACTAAAATTGGTAAAGGGGAGTTCTGATACACAAATTTACGTGTTCGAGAAAATAATTTGTCTTTGGTTTAATATATATAAGTTGTTAATCAATGTTTACTATATCGAACAAAAGATAAACTTACTGCTTCACAAAACTCTGTTGCTAGTTGGTGAAATTGGGGACTGTTAACATCTGATAAAGCTTCAGTAAATGTTGCGTTATTAAGGGTAGCTGTTGACTCGAAAGTTTCTAAAAAGAAAGTAAAGGAAGTATCTTAAAATCAAGCTCTTTGTTTTGGATACACGTAGACGTAGTTTTAAGAGCAAGGTATGCTATTAAAAAAGATATACGGTTCGAGCAATTAATTCACCCCCGATCCAAAATATAATACAAATTATCTGTATATGATAATTTAGTAAGGCCTATAATTTACACATCGGATCTTTACAGGTCTACTTAGATGCCTGGATGATCAAATTATTATCTTAGGCATCACGAATTACGTCATCGTATTTCCACCCTTAAATCATATATGTAATTAAGGAAATGTGGTATGATTGCCAATTAAACAACTCTCCACCAGAGACCAAATGACGTAGAAGTCAACAACCATAGGCCACCGCACGTCCTCTTACAACAAGCCAAATCCATACGATATAATTTTTGTTGTCTTACTATAGACGAACATTTATCATTTAAACATATCCTGCGACCATGCACTTCACATGTGAACCGTTCCGTATCACTATAAAATGTCCGATTCCTATAGAGATTTCGATATGATAGTGTTATCTTTGCTTGTCACAAAAGCATCAAATTAGTGCAGTCTATTAAAAACACAATGTTTGATGCAAGGAGTTTTAAGTTCTATGATATTGGTCTGCTGCAACCATGTGGATCTGAAACCTAAATGCACTCTACAGTTATATTTCATTTTGTCAACAATTGTGCCATTCTACACAGTGCGACTATTGCAGCAAGAAACTGTTTACATTGTATGGAGCCTGGTTACATTTCCAAGTGTTTTTTCTTTTTCTGTGTTTTGTTATGTGGATAGCTTGTTTTTACTATATAATTCCTTTTTTTGTCATATTATAATCTGTATTCTTTACAAAAAATTGTGTTTTTGCTCATGTTCCTTTTAGTACTTAAATTATGAAGAGTTGAAAATTTACCTACATGATGTTCACTGCTTCAGTGACCTACTTTCACTATGAAATTAAGTATGATCGATTGATGTGGTATGTTGAACTTTGACATGCACAAACTTTAAATTAAAGTTGTGCAATTTTTTTTATTAAAGTACATAACAAATCTGTTTTTGTCAACGTACATAATGAATGTGTTTTATGAATTTTGATTATGCCCTTGGTTCCTACTTACTTGTTCTGACATAGTAATGCATTGCTCATGAAACCGTTAATCATATGGATGTATTTACTCATCGTGGTATGGTTAGGTTATTTATATCCTTTTATTGATATATGCGTTTTACTATACATGAAACAGAAGTACAATGAACAATGTATGGAAAGAATAACATGAATTACAAAAATTTAGGACAGTACAACAGATCACATAAAAACAACGATTGACTTCTCCTTGTAAACAAAGCAGAGGAAGTGTACATATTAAGGTTCATTTTCAGATATGAAAATTAAAGTACTAAAAGCTACATGTGCAAGAGTACTTGTGCATATTATAAATCATAAACGTGTTATAGCACGCATGTCGTTAATTCAGAGTAAAGTAAGAACTTGTGTCGGTGTTTTATAATCTGTAATACTGGTATTTAGAGAAAAATGGTATAATTGCATTGATTTATTTTGTGCGTTTTTCTATTTCACATGTTTCATTTTCTTGTTATTATTTTTGTTTTCTTGTGTTTTCTGGTATCTGTTTTTTTTTTAAGCATAACACATATAGCCTTTAAATTTATTTATCTACTTTGCTGACCATCTCACTCTAACGTAACCATTGAATCTTAGCATAACCATCAAGTCCTAAGATAACTATGGACATTTTAGGTTGCACTTTGTAAATACAGCTGTTTCACAAGCCACGCCTCTTTTGGGGAGATATATGATATTCATAGATATGTTAATTTGTTAACGTACTGGTTCCCAGATGTGATCTATGTGTTTCATCTCATAGAGACATAACTTGGGAATGTTACCAGTATAGAAAAACAGGGTAGCGCCTAAAATTTAATTCTTAGGAGGTCCAATAGTTAAGGTATGGATAGTATAGAATTTTAGTATAAGTTTAAACTGTTAGAAGTTCAGGGCATATAAATGTTGAAAATATGCCGCACAGCCCTATATTTTGACCTTTGAATAAAAAAGTAGTGCGTATCAACTTTCCGTTCTGGGATATAACTGTTCACGAAACTTCATAGTAAAAGTGGCACAGTTTTAGCTGCAAAGGGAGTTCCTATGGGAAATTGCATTGTCTATATTTACAGAATGGCAACCTTTAGAAAAAAAAACCCACATTAATTCAAAGTCTATACGTTAATTTAAAGTTGATACTAACTAATTATCCTCTTAAACGTTTGACCCACTCACCCCTCATTGTGCAAGCATAAACACGCAAATCGGGATAAATCTTATTTTGCAAATCAAAAATATATAAACGCTACAATTGTACATTTGTCTACAAAGTTTGACATGTAATAAACATTAAAAACACGGAGAAGATATATACCATGGTGATAATAAAAAAACATAAGTCGAATAGACACACCATTAATGACCAAGAAAGAAGGAACAGAAATTTCAACACAGAATTAAGAGACCAGACGTATTTTTGACTAAGGATATTTTACTTACTAGAAACCTTTTTTGGAAGTATTCGTTGTGACACTGAAATGATATATACACATTTTCGAGACATATAAGTTATATTCGTAAATTTCAATAAACATTTTGAAATATATTCCTATCTAAGTTTTAAGAACCAAAATAAGATATCCTATCTTAATTAAATGTCCTAACCATAATTTGTAGCTATATCATGCAATAAATTAAAATACCTGTTTTTGGCGATTATAAACTAAATAGCAATGTCATCCTTTGAACTTATATTTTGAAAATATTATGTTTTGACATATATTAAGTGTATTGTATTGTTACATCCGATTTACTTCATGTCTATCTATCTCATACATGGATTGGGAAAACGGACCATCGAAAAGACGGAAACTCTTAATCATGGTTCGTTGTTCATCGTTATAAAATATCATTCCCATTCATATACATTTATATTCCCTATCAAAAGTATATATATTATGTATATTAATAAATAATTTTCAACTTCATGTTAGAAACTACAAACCACATGATATATTATGCAAAATAAGCCATCGTTTTAATTGACATGATAAAACGGAGCCATTTAGTTTCAGATGATAGATAGGCAAAAAGAGTTAAACTTAGAAAGAATTATCGTTCATGATATCTGTTTATAATGATGCATGACAGAATAAACACTTATAAAGCTATATGTTCATGTAAACTTGTTAACAAACATTACAAAAATGATTGAAAGCGACGTATTTCATCATTTTAAAATGTGTAAAAGACACACAATCTAGCTGGTGTAGTTGTAAAAATAAAAACATATAACAACGTTTTACTTATATGAAATTCTAGATATCAAAAACTTACATAAAACAGATAACACAACACCAGCAATAACTACTCCAATGAAACAAAGTACGAAAAATATACACAGTATCACTCTACATGTCGATCCTCTTTTAAACTTGTCCCCAATCTCGTAGGACGATGCTCGTTCGTCTTCCTCGCGTTTAAAAGACGGTGGAGATGAATTTATTCCTTCAGATATCACTGATTCTAAAGTATCATTTCTTTGTCCATTATAATAGCGAAAACATCCATGCGGATTAGGTGGTTCAAAACTGTTGTCAATTGTACTCAATGGAACATCATTGCTGTTTCCTGCTTCATTTATACGACTGTTGCTATTATACAGGGTTGTCATATGTGGCCACTAGTATAAGTAAAACTGTTTATTAATGTAAAGTGATCGCAGCAATACACTTTAAAGTTGTTTCATATTTTGAAAATAATGTAAATTATAAAACGATTTCTGAAATAATAAGTTGCATTGAAAGAAGGTAATAAATAAGATTGTAAATACTAAATTTCTTTTTACCACATATTAGTTAATTCTATCCAAAATGGGTGTTTGTTGATTTGCAGTCATCATTAATCTCAAAACTTAAACTCTTTAATTTTGTATGTGGTGTTTTGTTATTGTCGTTTTCATTTTGGCCATGGCACCGTTTGTTTTTATTGGACTTATGATTTTGTCGGTACCAGATGGTATCTTCTCTCTTCTTTTTATATCTGTGATAACAAGCTTGTCATAACAACGTTATTTAACTTTTTCTTACCTTTATTGCACATAAAATTCGCAACAGGTAAACATAGTTTTGTGAGTCAGAGTTCAATATGAAAACTATATACTTAGTAGTTTAATTCAATTTTAAAATTTGTCATCTTTATGCTCAAGGCCAAGCAAAAGAACATAAGAAAACCACACCCCCACAACATTAAAGGTAGCTGATATATACCAACAAATGTATTCTCTATAGCCCTGTTGTGGAAAATCTGCTAAATATACACTAATAAACAAATTGAAACAATGATTGTGTAATTGTTAATCGCAGGGAAAAACACTGCAACTTAATTTTATCTTTCTACCTTGATTTTAGAGTGGAATATTAAAACATTACAAGTTTCTTACGTGTTTATACATCATTCTAGTAATTGTTTTCCTATATTAGATTAAATTTATTACCATGCATGGCCTTCCACACATTTCTATTTTCGAACCGAAAACATGATCTCTATTGACATTTTTGACATGTTAATATCGTTGCAAAAGTACTTGTTTTGCCATATATCATAAATGACTATCTACAATTATTGATAATTTTTTCCTAAAACATTATTTTTAAATATTTTGTTTTGTCTAACTTCTAGAATTAAACTTTAATACAAATTTAAACAAAGAGCACATTGTCAAGAACCATTCAATGTTATCATGCTGTATAAAATGCCCAAGTACTCCTTTTAGATTTATCTCTCTTTTCTGACAAATAGTACATACTGACCTCAGAATACCGTCCACGACTCCGTCTTTCGCGTCCGTTCATTTCAATTCTTGTATTTGCAGATTAATAAAAGAACGGTATCCAGGTGTACAAAAATAAGAAAATCCGAACACTTGTTTCCCACATGTTTAAGACATCTTTTAACTACCATTAAGTGTTCTATAATTAACATATAATGTGGACACACCTGATAAATTAGTAGGTGTTATTCTCGTCATGTATATACAAAAGAAAATATTTGTTTGTGTAAGCGAACACGTATTTTGAGAAATATATAACATTGCATACAGAGAAGTTTGCAAAAAAGAATATAAAAACTCGTCAAGAAAAATGGTAAAGACAATACGTTACATGACTTTTGTTGTTATTTGATATAACATCTTATTCATTGGAAACAACTCAAAATTTTTTTCATGATATATACAACCTTAAACAGAATGAAACGTGTCTGTCGACAATATGTACACATTAAAATCGTATAAATGAAAAGATATTCAGCTATTAAAATTCATTCCATCGTTGATCCCATGATACATCTACATGGAAACTTGCATGATTACTTTAATGTTTTATCTGTCAAAATGGATAATCCGATGTACGTTTTGTTGACTTCCTCTGATTTTCCTTTTGCACAGGATTCCAGGCAAACAAAAGTTCGTATTTAAAGTGGACAGTATATCTGTCGTATTGACGATATTTAAATATTTACACGCCCATTTTTTTATTTGACAAGGGTGACATGCATAGGATGCACCAGAATAATTTGCTCACAATGTGCTTTTTGTGTTTTTGTCCTATATATCATTTTTTCTGATATTAAAAAAGCATGCATGATGAACATCATTCTACTTGTTAGGAGACTGTTTGATGCTTTTATTGTGTCTTGCTTTCTTTTTGTAGTGTAATCCTGATGTTTTGATAAAAAAAAACGCGCTTTTGATGGTCCTTTCAATTTGGATGACACTTATGATTTCTTTACTCTCTTTACTACACTTCCATACAATCTTATCACCCCCGGTTTTTGGTGGGGTTCGTGTTGCTCAGTCTTTAGTTTTCTATTTTGTATTGTGTATGCGGTTTTTTTGTCTTTTTCTTTTTTGCCATGGCGTTATCATTTTATTTTCGACTAATGAGTTTGAAAGTCCCTTTGGTATCTTTCGCCTCTCTTTTCCTTGTTTAATGAAATGATCCTTTATTAAAAATCTAATTGCGAATGCATTTGCTACAACTCTTATAAAGTCTTGATCTGTATCAAAAAAGGTAAATTTGCTAGAAGTTTCTACTGGAACTGTAATAAAATTATTAAAGATGTAAATTATCTCCATCACAACATAAACGTCCTATTAAAGTTGATCGACATGTTGCAGGTATTCTTATGTGCGCCATTTGTGCCCCGACAACAGCAGACTTGATCCTATATTGTTTTGAATAACAGTTTTTGTTGAATTCAGCGTTACCGTTACCTTGAGGATATTTTTATTTGAATAGTCAGAAATTCTCTAATTATACTGTACTCCTCTACCCAAGCAAAAAGGCTTCAAATACATTTAAAATAATCAACCATTATTGTCCTTTTCTATATTTTGCTACATGTATTTCAGTTTCACATGGGAAACTTTAAACAATAAAAATTACGACAAAAGATATCATTTTCGTTCCCTATTTCTTATTTTCCTTTTTTTACACAATGATGTTCCTGTGTCCCCTTCTTATTGTGTGTACATTTCCCCAACTCGTTCGCTATGACCGTGTCTGCAGTGACGTTTTATATTTCAAATATAAATTCTCTGCATAACCGGTAAATTATCAAGTAAGGGATTTCGTTACAACAAATTAGTTAAAACCTTTACTACATTCGTTAATAGATACAAAACTTTGGTTTAGAAGTTTGGCTGTAATTTATTACAAATATGATATACGATCCTAATTTTTACGGTAATATTGTTTATAGAGCCCGTATATTAGAATACGATTCAAGTAAAGTTATTGATCTTTCGAATAAACTTATTCTTAAAGATTATCAATGTATTATTATAGTAATATATTTGAATATTGTTTATATCGGTACTATCATTGATTTTGTTCTTAATGAATCAAAATATAACAAAATATGTATTTCTTTACAGTTTTTCATTTTTTTTTCATTTTTGGCAATCCTACCACATCTTATTATGTTTATACTCGTGAATTTACAATGTTTTATTGAATATATATCTATATTACATTAGCAAACTTACAACTGATTTTTTTGTTATATATAACGAATATTAAAATCTGCTCAATACAATGTATATGTCACAAAAACGATGCAATATGATATGAAATGAAATACAAAAAAGTGTATATGAAATATAATATGAGAAAAACAAGATGAATACAATTGTCCTGTTGATAAAACTTACCTCTCTCTTAAATCGAGTTTTCCAAGAGGCCATGTTTGTAAATAACAAACAAAACTTATGTTATATCTCCCATCGCGAAAGCAGAAAATGAAAGATTATAACTTTTGCTTGCAAATTTCATCTATTGAGTATATTTTGTGTCCATATGATTTACAAAAATTACACTTCGCATGTCATGTGACAAATTCAATGTCTTCATTTGAAACAAATTGATGAGCACTGTCATACATAAAAGGATCACATTTTTAATGTGTCAATAATATGTCATTCTAAATGTTTTAACAGCTACCTAATTAAACACGTTTATACACTAACAAATTGCCAC